GTATTAACTAGGGTTAAATGTCGATTATTTCGCAAATTTCGGGGTGGTCCTAAACTTTTGGCCAGGGAGTGTATATAACACGTTCCCAAACTCTTTCTCACAATATTTTTTTACGAGCTTTATATTAATGTTATCAGAAGAAGTTACAGATAAACTTCATAACGCTAAGTACTGGAAAAGGCCACTCTCAGAGTGGAACTTAAATACTTATGAGCAGTTTTACGCCGAACAACATCCAAAGGAGTCGAAAGAATCATTCCGTCGTGTTCTTGGAAAAGAGATAGAAGTGCTGAAAAAACACTTGAAGCGAAATTCAAAAGAAGGTCTAAAGTTATCGGATTTAAAAAGTCAATTAAAGGTTAGTATCTTTATACGTTTTCAGGAATGTAGAGATATTGACGAGAATAGCAAAGATGTGCTACGCTCTGTGTTTACGTACACAGAGAAGAGCGACCCTGTCACATTAGTGCTGTGGCGGGCACATCTTGCTATTGAGATTTTTGATTAGGGTCTGCTGATTTTGGAGGAGAAATCGGCTATGTGCCTTCCTTATGGTAGATCTTTACTCACACACACTGTTCAAGGCACAAGAAAAGAAAACTTTCCGCCAAAAAGAAGTAATGTCGTTATTGAAGAGGCAGAAGGAGAGAGGGCATCAAAAAGAAAACGAACTCATTGTCAGTCTTGTAATGTTTTTGATAAGAACGAAATTATTAAGAATATGCTACAAGAGTCAAAGAACGAGGTATGAGGCTAATACTTTGATTTCTTATTATTTCATCCCACTCATTTCTCATTGCCGGTTATTTGAAAATCAGTGGTTAGTGTGTAATATAAATGTTACAAAAAAATTCCATGAATATCAGCAAAAAGCTCTTGAAAAACTTCATTCAACCGGATTAACCTGGCACGACACATACGAAATCTTGTAAGTGATGAGATTTGCAACACAATTATTATACTCGTATCTAAATATTGTAACTTTAGGGCGCTCTCATCAATAATGGTGCTTGACCAATGTTGCCCCTATTCAAATTTCACAAATGAAGAATGGCAGATGATAATCGAAACGAACCCATATACAATACGCGAGCCAGTATTATCAACCCCAGTGTCCAATGCTTTTCATGAAGCCGTTATCAAACACCTGTCAGGCCAAGACAGTTACATGCATCCGGATGAAACTCTGCTGAGTAGAGCTTCCTCAAGAACTTTCAATGAGCTGTAAGTTTTCATTAACTCATTCATTTAATAGAATCCATTTAACAAATTTTGTTTTTAACATATTAAGACGAGAAAATGTGCCCAATATCGCGCCTAGGACTATGTCTGAACAAGAACATTGCTCAAAGTTCCTCCATCCATTTATAAATCCGATCTTCTTAAGAAGAAATAAAGATTATGAAGTACGGTTGGATCGCTCAGTAAAAGGAACCAAACTAAGACCGGATCTTTCCTGCACCGTAGATGGGATCTCTGTGTTAAATTCTGAAATAAAACCGTTGGGTTGTGGTCCTTTAAATCAAAAAAAGGATATTGTAAAATCCCATCTACAGGCAGGAAAGACCATAAATCAATTTTTATCCTTAAAAGGCGGCCCAGAAGAATCGGCAATATTTCTTAATTGTGGTTTGTTCTTAAGTTCATTGTTATGAAACTAATAACTTGTCTCTTTATTATCTACTAAGTTATTTATTGAAAATTGCAGGTGATATCGTCCAAACATATATCATGGACTTGCAATACGATGGAATATATCGATCATGGGCGTACCTCAAATCGAAATTGGTGATAGATGAACTAAGCTTACCCTTGGTCGAGTCAAATTTTGCTCATTTTGTAGCCTTAGAGGTACTGTATATGCCATATGTTATATACAATACACTATTTACTATTTTAAAATTTATTGTAATATTTATGCATTTACAGGGGCGTGTAACTAAACTTGCGAAAGCTTATAAAAATCGAAGGGAGCCAATCACACTGCATCAACAAATTCATTATGTGCGCAATATTCCAGATTTTTATCAGATCAAGGATATTGTAGGTTCGAGTTCAAGCTTTTTTAAAGAGATTTAATTTTAATTATAATAATTATATTTCGGGTGTATTTATATTTAGGGTTTGTTTAGAATTTCTAGCTTGTAATCGTACCCAAAATACTGCATGTACAATTTACTAAATGTTTTTATATCTTTCAATAATCGTTGTATATTGGTGGCGTATTATAGTGTACATTTCAGAATATTTGTTTATATTAACGTTATTAAAGTGGTGGACTGTCTTGTTGTTCATAATGCTGACCGGAGTTCTTTTTTAAAACAACCTATAGTCTGAAAAAAATTCGCAAAGTTGTGTTTAGCACGTGATTTTGATTTCAATACAATTTACAAAAATGTTAAAATTGCCAGAGTTCGCTTCATTTGATTGTTGCCAGAGCCATTGAAATTTACTAGCACAAAAAGAATATGCGAAAAAATTAAATATCTCTTTGAGCAATGAATTACATGTATTATAAAGGTTATTGATTATAGAAGATCGAAACTTTTGGATGATTGATCAACGAACTCCTTAATTTTTTGTATTCTTTCTGGGATAACAATTTCTGGTTTTTGGTCATACTATACCTCAAGAAGAAAGATTCCATTATCCAGACAAATGCATCTTTTTTGCCGATCACGATTAACAATATCCTCGAGTTTTTTGACATCTTTATACCAGCTGGTGCTATGAAACCGATGTTGAGCCCCTTGCACTTCTAATGCCATTCGATGATCTTGGAAGAAAGCATCAAGTTCTAATCCATTCAAGAAAGAAGGGCGATACTCAATTATCGGCTCCTCATGAAGAATTTCCTTGGCTATCTGGATGCATCTAGTCTGAAATTTGCGATTTTTCTTAGCTTCTCTTTCTACCTGATCCTGCTCTAGTTTTAAAATTCTAGCTTCCCTTTCTGCCTGATCCTGCTCTAGTTTTAAAATTCTAGCTTCAAGCTCGGTAAGCCTAGCTTTCTTGTCAGTTTTCTTAATCTCAAGCTCAGTGATAAATACTTCAAACTCAGATGTCATGATAGATAATATTTTCATATACGAAAGAATTATTCAATGTTACGTGCAAATGTAAAACCACTTTATTAATACATGCGAAAAATAAATACAAAGATCGGGACTTTGCCCATAATACATGACGGATTTTCTATGCTAATGATAGTGGACTATTTTACATGCTTATTTTTTCAAATGATATTCCTCTATTTTAACTCTCTTATTCTCAGGAGATTCATCCGCACACGTCCTATCCCTTATTAACCAAACAATCGCACCTAAAACCCTCTTCACACCACTACGCATTGTTTGATATTCCTCGGAACTTTTATTTAAGGCTTTCTTGTTAAACTTGATGGTGTGGGGGATTTCACTCGCTTGACTAATCACACCTGGACTGTAAAGCAGAAAATGCTAATCTCTGGCCGATGTCACAATACCATAGAGATAATCGAAATCATCATCACCACGTTTTCGTTTCCTCTTATTCATTTCGTGTGAACTCTCGAGTTGCTTGATATTTTGGGCGAAATCTTCGAGGATGCTACGTTGGACTTTGTCTTCTGTGACGCAAATAAGATTCTCAGACTCCTGAAAGATGTATGGTTTTAAGTATTTTCTTGAAAAAAATACCAAAAAAAAATTCTTATACCTTAATTGCGTAATCGACCCGCCCGGAACTTTCATCACCAATTATTTTGTACTCAGGTCTCATACTAAATTCTTTTTTCGTGATGTCCCTGGCGATATGGAGGGAAGTATGAAGTATTGTTGAAACGTATTCATTACGCATATTCTCCAAGCTATCAACAATCAAAGATCTGTAATTTTCATCCTAAACAAAATGTTATCCATACAATGCTCAAAGTACTTGTTAGTTTCCTGAATTTCGTAAGTCTGTAGGGAAAAAATCAGGATGGTTTCTGTTCTATTAGAATCAATATCGTATTTCGCTAATACCTCACTTAAACTCTTATATGAGAAGAACGGACGCTTCGGTTTTTCTTTGAGGGCCTTAATCTCCTCAGCGAGCAATAAAGCTGGTCTACCAGGAAAATTATAAGGCGGGGCTATAAGCTTCTCTTCAGTCAACTTAAGAAAGGAGAGACCCGTAACCTCTTGTTTACGGAGAATATCATAGTGCTTCTTATCGTCTAGTTTGAGGTTCTGTTCTTTCAAAAAAGCGATAAGGGTTTCTATATCCCAGTTCTCAACCAAGTAAGAGTCGTGTTCAGCTATTGAGGTAGACATAGCACTTTTATAGTGATAATAGGCTCAAACAAAAAAAAAGTGTGTTACGTTTTTTTTTTCTCACTATAGTTCGAAAAAACCAATCTATCTATTAATTCGTAAAACCAGACAAAAAAATATTATTTATTGCTGATCATGAACGAAGTGAATTATCGGTGGAAATTATTTCTGTTCGGAAAGGAAAGTACTGAGCGTTAATATAGGTTTTTTATGTCGCACAGGCATTGCATCATTACATATGACCCATTTCTCATGTACAGTACAATAATAATACTTTATTTATGAAATAAAACGTTGCCGGAAGCTGGCCTACAATACATAAAATTGCGACTATATCGCTATTACATGATACAGAAAATTATTTGGGGTATACAGTGATATGGAAGTGCTCTGCTTTAAGCTCCTCATCAAAAGAAAAAATCTCAGAAAACTGATCGTACCCGTCCATTTTCTTTTCAATACCGCTTCCAGCTTGAATTATACAAAATTTGAGAGGGATTTTATTAAATGATGCCCCCAATCTGCTTTGAATTTCAGCTTCGAGTTCACTAGGACTATCATATTTGCGAACTACAATTGTTTGTATTACTTTAATACCCGGAATATTCATAAGTTTTCCTATAGGAATGATAAGACAATTGAGAGTGATGGTGTCATCGGCCATTTTCGATTCCTAAATACAAGAGCCATAGTGAGAAAAACCACCCCCATACATACATAATTTATAACATATATATACCTTGTTTTGCGTCATGTTTCTAGGAAATTTTTTGAGGAAAGTTGGCTAAACTTCCATATACTCCTACATGCTTTATATCTTGCTGTTGAGAAGGAAAAAGTTAAGGAGGTATGAGACGTAATTAGTGATGCCAAGAGCTTCATGAAAGCACATGCAAACAGAATCCTCATACCCTTTCACATGGAGATCTACCGGAAAGACATAAAGTTGGTTTTACGCCTGCCGATCTCGGAATTGCGACTCCACTAGCCTTTCATAACATATGTTTTTGTCGGCACTATTTACTTACGGGGTAGGTCCTGTATTGCATATAGACCTTCTTCACATTTTTCTCACGTTTGTTTAGGAAAAAAATGGAGGTATTGGTTAACGAGTATACTGTATATGCGAAATTAATATGCGAAAATGTCGCACAGACCTATTATGTGATCGGCCTATTTTGTCGCACATGAGTACATACATTGTGACCCAGCAAAAAATCTTCCGAACTGATGATCACTGCTCTGGACTACCTTTGCTCAGGTTAGTTATCCAATGTATACCTCTCAATAAGTATTGTATCCCATTCAGATTAGCAATACCGGACTGACTAATATAATCTTTAAACCCAGTTATAATACCAGTCACTGATTCTTTTTTCACCTGAATAAGCATTTCTACCAATTCACGATAATAAATATTTTTTGCAATACATCTCATATTTTCTCGTGTTAATCCACTATAGAATTCACTTCTAAAATGACCTTTACAGAGTTTGATGATATTATTACTTTTCTTCGCCTTTAAACAGTAATCCACTATTGATTCTTCACCTTGAATAAACAATTCACATCAGAACTTCTCAATACCATCTGGTCATATTTTCTCTCGAAATTCATGCGGATAATATGGCAATTTTATCAGATTCAAAATATGTAGAAGATAGAAAGCATCAGAATGTATAAATACATGGAATAATGATGATGAATTTCTTACATTGGGCAGACTATGTACAAATTGCTTAAGCGCTTTCTCTTTCCAATACCTAACTGCCTTTGTCTCCTAGTAAGTTTTGATTGTGCAAAAAAGGTCGTCCCAGTATCTCCACTCATCGGGATTCCTTTCATTATCCCATTCATATCTCGATTCATATTCTTTGATAAATTCATCGTAGCCTTCTTCTATCTCGGTATCTATCTCGTCATCTGACATTTTGCTAGTAGATTAATTAAATATTTTCAATTGGAAAAATAGGTTAATCATTGCTTGTTTCTGTCGCACAGGAGTACATGCATTTTGGCTCAGCAAAAAAAAAATCTTCCGAACTGGTGATCACTACTCTAGATTAATTAGATCGGTAGACTACCATCGGCTAGTATTCTATTCTTGGTGATTGTCTGTTAGGTTGCCGGTATATCCAATCTAAAGCCTGTGCCATAAATAATGCTTATTATATGTTATATCTTCAAACAAAAAAAAATCTTCTGAGCTGATGATCAGTATTCTGAATCAAATTACTCTCCATTCTTCTCAGTTCATCGTTAACATATTCATGTATAGACTTAATATCTCTTGGTACATCAACTGACATTCTGTCTTCTTGACATTACATACATCCCGGAATATTCACAAAGAAAGGGTGGTGTTATAGTACACATGAAATTCTCAACATGAAAATTTGGATTAAGTGAAACGAGCTGACCTATGGCTTCTTTGCTAACATCACACCCTTCCAATTTGAGATACTTTAAATTAAGACACGAACTAGCAATTTCTTTGATAATCTCATTAATAAATTCACAATAGCTAAATTCAAGATGTTGAAGCCTTGGGCAAGAATAGATAATATCACAAATCGATATCCCAATAATCTCTGTGTGACAAGAAATATTTAGATATTCTAGTTTATGACATGACTGTGCAATTGCACATAGACCTTTATCAGTCACTTTCCCACCATTAGAGCATTTGTACCTACTCTTTTGCAAATTGAGATACTTCAGATTGAGGTATGTCTCTGCTACTCGATTAAGTGTTTTATCGCTAAATCCTGTGCTAAAATTTAAATCTAAATAGACTATATTTGGGAATAAACGCACAATACCATTGAATTTTTTATCTGAAAGTGAATGGTAGTTTGAAATTTCTAGATGAGTTAGATTTGAGCTATAGACTGGTTTTTGTCTTTTTCGTACTATTTTCATAAATTTATTCAATTGAGTGCAATCCTTTCTTCCACCTTTCTTTAGCTCAACACGCTTCTATAAAATAGGGGCACCGCATCTGTACCATAATCGGGAAACAAATAGAGTGTAATAAAGGGATTTATCTATCGCTAAAAAATGTAAAATATATTCTAATAGTTCTGGTATAATAAAAATTCGTGAATGCGTCATACATAGTGCATATTATACGTTATATCTTTAAACGAAAAAATAGCAAAGCACCTTCGAGGAAATTACGTGATCATTGCTCTAGACTAAGGCTTTCCAGTATCTCATCTAATGCAAGTGCTTGTAAACCATCCATTAAAACTTTAATCTTATTTTCGGGTGATAATCCTTTTAATAATGCACATTTAAGGAATTCTTTACTATGGCCGAAACTCTTGTTACACTCTTCCAGCTTCGAATAAAAATCCTTGACTGTATTTTCGCCTTGAACCAATGACATAGTATGAAAATTGAAAAGAGTCTTTCTTTTGGACCATTCAAGATCTACCTCCTTTGCCCATATATCATTTATACTGCGAAAATTTTTTAGATCCTGGTTTGAAAGATCCTTTAGAATAAATGGTATTAATTCTGGCGGAAGACGTTCTAGCAAATTAACTATATGCATTTTTTATATAGTTAGAATATCTTTCAATCGAAAAAATAAGGCTAATAATTCACGATCACTGCTTCAGATAATCATTATTCTGCATTAGATTTATATTTTACTTTTTTGAATGAAATCGCAAAATTATCGTCTAATAATAGTTTTGAATTGCATATATTCAAAGTTGCATCATTTTCTCGCAACCACAGCATTCCCAATACTAAGTCAAGAAAATAATCAGGCCAATCTGGTCCAAGAACTATGAATTCAACAGGTATGCTTTTATGCTTCTCGTCATCTTCAAAACCAATATGCAGATTGATCTTTCCAAATATGAAATAGGATGCATCCGGAGTTACAATGCTATTGCTTTCACTGTGATATGTAATTCCTAATTCACCAATATGTTTTTAGCTAATACAATTTACATCAGTGCACGTATCAATTGATGCCTCAATAGGGATATTTTCTTCGACTACACAATTAACGAATACCATTTTATTATGGCATATATAATATTCAAATATAAAATTAAACCTCTATTCAACGCTTGGTAAGATAATCAAGTGATCATACAAAGCGTCTGATTTTTCGAATCTCTCTGTCTCGGCCCACTTTAAACTACCAACCGTTTAACCTTTTTTGGTTTTGCCTTCCTTCGTTGCTTATGAGGGATAGCCTCGTTTTCTCTTATCACAATTGTCTTGACCGAATCAGATTCTTCGGAAGACTCAGATAAATAGGAGGAATCCTTATACAGAGCGCCTCTTGACCCTTTTTTAGCAATTATCGAGGGAACTATTTCTTGTATTAAGTCGACCACAGTCTCCATATCTACACATTCGTCCAGATCTTCCAATTCAGCTTTCAATAAATTGACCTTCCTTTTAAGCTTTACATATTCGAAATGATAATTGTCTAATTGTTTCTCGAGCCCCTAAATCTGTCTAGAGAGTGCTTTTTATGCTTCTGCATTTCGCTCATCTAGTCCTAATAACTTGGCTATATTTCCTGTACACCTGATAACTTCCTGCTCGCTATGTATACTATCAGGTGAATGATTTTGATCGGCTACCATTTTTGCAATATTTTATATATGCTAGATCTTAGGCAAATGAAAAAATAAAATTTAATAAATGTTGTCTAACCCATCTATGTGATTAGTTTTCGTCGAAGAGCTCGAATGCCGTTGCCTGATCATAAGGCTGTCCTCTTTTTCGAAAATTGACTATAGTATAGTTTTGCACTGAGAAGGCATGGTTGTCTGGTGAATGTCGAAGGGCTTGATTGGCGATGGTCATAGCTTCTGATAAATTCTTCACACCATTCAATACGACCGCAAATACTGCTCCCAATTTTCGCAAATAGCTAGAAAGAAGTGGTTTACCAGTTTCAGGAAGAAATCTATCTTTTTTCAGAAATGTATTAAACCATTT